TTTTTTATGTATGTGTATATATATATATATATATATCAAATTAATTTACATTGAAAAAATTCAATTCTGAAGTATTAAAAAATGTGTGAAAAAAATGACTATAAGGTTATTTTTCATAAACTTTATTCAAATAGCAAATTTGCTCTAAGGTAACAGGCACATCCAACCGAGTGCCAAAGAGTTAAACACTCCAGTCCTCTCTGTAGCCAAATTGTCATGAAACTGTGACATCATACGTTGCCTAAAAGCTTCAACAAAGTACAAGAAAACCTATGTCAAATGGTCAGAGAGCCAACCAGATGGGTTCCCATTTTAAATTTGTGATATAAAGGAATGAAATTTGTAAGAAATTGAATTCTGAGGAAATGAGACAAGATTTACATTAATTTAGTGAATTGAGATCAGTTAAAAGGTGATGTGGGACAGATTTGATATATTTTTTAAAATAAAAAACTTTTAATTCAAGAGTAACAGTTGCCCTGGAAACTATAAGCTACTTAATTTTACTTCCATAGTTGGGAAAATTCTAGAATCTGATGCAAGAAGCTTTGTAATATCATTTAGTGAAATATAATAAAAAACCAACATGAATTCACTAATGGGAAATCTTGCTTTACTAATCTGTTAACCTTTTTTTCTTCAAAATCTTCACCTGCTATCTGGATGATGGAAAGGTTATGGATTTGTATTTAGATTTTCAAAAATGTTTGATATGGTGCCACAGAAAAGATTAGTTAATAAGATCACATTTGTAGGGTTTGGGAATGACTAGTTAATTGGACTGTAGGGAAGTTGTATAAATGAAAGTAAATGGTTGCTATTAATGAGTCCAGTCAAACTTAATACTTGTTATTAGTTGACTGCCTCAGGGGTCAGTACTTGGGCCTTTGCTTTTTCTTATTTATATTAATGATATTGATAATGGTATAATTAGTAAAATAATAACATTTGTTGATAACAAAATATTGAGAATTTCTAGCTATATTGAGGATGCTGAGGTACTGCAGAATAAATTGGATCATTTGTTAAGTTGGACATATATATGGCAAATAACTCTTAACCCTCTGAATACGTGTAGGTAAAAGTACACACTTCATGATCTTTTTATACAGTTAGATTCAAATGTAATATATGTTTTAATTTCTTAATTTCAAAAGGATATATTTAAATAAGTTCTCAATCGTTGCTTTTCTATATTCACTCCAAATTGCCCAATTTAGATATTCTTTCCATCCCTATTTGAGCTTCTGAGTTTAATACAAATTACAAACTTACAGTACAGATATTGCAAAGATATAATCTAATTTTATAGCCTCCACTCATATAAACCAGGAAATCAAACACTCCTATCACATACTGTCCTTCAAAAAATGTTCACTAATACATTATTTATAATCAATAGAAAGAGAAGATTTTAATGTACTGAATTACATATAATGCTAGCTTGTTCTGATGACAACTTTTCAATTAACCAGCCTACAGATTCAAAATTTATATTGCTAGGTTCAACCAAGTAAGGAAGATATTTTAACTGATTTATAGCTTAGCTCAGAAAGGTAGTTATATTATAATAGTTATAGGACATTGTATTCTTTGTGCATATTAATGTTTTGGTTCTACTTGAATATTTGATATTAATAAAAATTCAGTAAAGTACTAACAAGAACCCTACCAAAAAGTAGGGTTAACTTTTATTGAGAATGACTGCAAAAAGCACAAAACCTATACATAAGTACTAGCTTTCTTGTTTTTGTATGAATATCGTATATTTATTGTTATAAAATTAATTGAAATATGAAAATTAGAAACTTATTAGATTAGATAAGAAAACATAAAGGAAAAATCAAATAAACAATTGTTCAGTACAGTATGCATGCAAGTTGCAGGTGCATTACATAAATCAATACTTCATTTTAAAAAGCTTAAGCTGGGTGTTCATAGCTTTTTTACACATGTTTAGTTAGGCACAATTCAAAAAGCAACAATGCAAAAAAGATTAAATAAAAACAGATGTAAAATGTTACAAGTCTCAAGCTCTTCAGGATAAATAATTTCATTTTATGTTACAATCTAGTCGTTATATGGTGATTACAAGGTCAGTAAAATGGACAAAGCTCATATACAGAGGGTTAATTACAATATTAAAGTAAGCACAAGGCAATAGATTTATTGCAATTTTGATCATATGTTTAATATTAATGGGAACCTACTCAATTGTATGACTGGAGAAAACAGTTTTGGCATATTGGTGAATAAGTCACTCATGCCATCAAGACAGTGCTCTCTTGCTAGTAGTAAAGTGAATAAAATTTAAGGGTGTATTTATAGACATACTAATTAGAAAGAGGTAATTATCTCTTAATACAAATCACTGTCATGTTTCACTAGAAATACTGTGTATAGTTTTGGTCTCCTTATATAATAGATATATGAAAGATACCGATTTAGGAAAAATGTTCAGAAAAGGCCTACCAAGATGATACCAGAGATGGAAGCATTATATCATGGGGATAGATTAAGATCTCAACTTATTTTCTCTTGAGAAAGGAAAGATTAGAGGAGATATTACTAAAGTTTACATGATTATCCAGGGGATCTACACAATAAATGCATCTAATATTTTTGTGCTATTTTCTGAGAAAAATACAATGAGGGAACACAAGTTTAATCTTATGTTTACTGCAGGGTCAAAGTGTGCATGTCACAGATTTTACTGAATTAAATTCAAATTTAATCAAACAACTTTACTGTTAAAGCATGTCAATAAGCTTGACATTAAAATATAGTTTATAATTCAAAGTTTCATATTATCTTATTTCTAGCTTCTTAATTTCAAAAGGAAATATTTAAATAAATCCTTAAACTTGACTTCTGTGTATGTCATGTGATGCATCTCCTCTCTGATTCTCTTTTCTAGATTTTCAAACTTCCCTTCTAATGTTTTTATAGAGGCCAACCAATCAGAAACTCAAACTATAGTACTGAAAGGTCAGAATATAAAACTTAAACCTCCTACCTTCTGAAATTAATGAGATATAAACAAATTTCAGTCCTTCATATTTGAAAAATTCAGGAGAGCTATAAAACCGTCCATGGGGGCTGTCAGTAGGATGATGCCATATCTCAATTTTTTGTTTACAAAATTGGACAATAAAAGTTAATTTATATTTATTGAACTGTACTTTTTCTATCAACAAAACATGTTGCTGACTAAACTGAAATATGTTTACAGCAAGCCACTGAACTATGACAACCTCCAAGTGGTATGGCAGCCTATGTGATCTTATGTCATGCAGAAAGTAATTCATCAAATGTAATTTAGGTCAAAAACTCTTCTTGCTAGTCTGAATTTGATAATAATTAATATCCGATTTTGCAATTTAAACTTTAAAACATAGATTTAGTTTATCAGTTACAAATATTTGATATCTATATACAACAACGAGTTTGAAAATGTTGTATTACTGCACTTGTAACATCACCAGTCTAGGACAAATGAAATTATCAGAGCCACAGTAGCCAATAGACACAAAGTTACCTGTGAGTTTGTGTGTGTATATATATAAACAACAGCTAATTACATGGCCAGCACCATGATAAATAATAACAGGATCTAAAATTAAAAGTATTTAATTCTTGGTAAAAATAAAAGAACCAGTTTCTCTCTCTCTCTTTTTCTCTCTCTCTATATATATATATATATATATATATA